AGCAGCGCTGCCAAGAAGGACTTGGGGGTACTGGTGGGTGAAAAGCTGGACATGAGCCAACAATGTGCGCTTGCAGCCCAGAAAGCCAACCGAATCCTGGGCTGCATCCAAAGAAGCGTGGCCAGCAGGTCGAGGGAGGTGATTCTGCCCCTCTACTCTGCTCTGGTGAGACCCCACCTGGAGTACTGCGTCCAGCTCTGGGGCCCTCAGCACAAGAAGGACTTGGACCTGTTGGAGCGGGTCCAGAGGAGGGCCACAAAAATGATGAGAGGGCTGGAGCACCTCTCCTATGAGGCCAGGCTGAGAGAGTTGGGGTTGTTCAGCCTGCAGAAGAGAAGGCTGTGGGGAGACCTTATTGTGACCTTTCAGTACTTAAAGTGGGCCTACAGGAAGGATGGGGAGAATCTTTTTAGCAAGGCCTGTTGTGACAGCACAAAGAATAATGGATTTAAACTAAAGCAGCATAGATTTAGAGTGGATATAAGAAAGAAATTTTTTCCAATGAGGGTGGTGAAGCACTGGCACAGGTTTCCCAGAGAGGTAGTGGAGGCCTCATCCCTGGAAACATTCCAGGTCAGGTTGGATGGGGCTCTGAGCAACCTGATCTGGTTAAAGCTGTCCCTGCTCACTGCAGGGGGGTTGGACTAGATGACCTCTAAAGGTCCCTTCCAACCCAAAGCGTTCTATGATTCTATGATCAGTGGTGTAGTCTATGGAAAAATGTACCCCAGAGCCCATTCCCACTCACTACGCAAACAGCCTGCTCCCTCTTTCACAATTCACTCCATGCTCACATAGCCTATTCCATCTATCTAAGGACCTATTTTCAAAGGAGCACTGGAGAGGTGGAGAAGAAACACATAAACACCCAGCACTTGGTGCAGCTTCAGGCTCTATACAAATGCTATTTGTGTCCAGACACACATCCTTCTATTGCCAAAATCAGACCTTCTTCTCCCTTAAGTGCAAATTCCCATGTATATCAGTTCAATGACAAACTGATTTCAAGCCTGTACTGGCTTAATAAAATTATTACATTTAGATAAATACTCCAGAGGTGCCACTGAACAGTCACTTGTGTGATTTGTCTACAACATCTAGCCTCAGAAATCTTAAAATAATGCACAGGCACTGCAACACAGACAAATTCAACATTTTGTGTCCTGCAGTGGTGCTGCTAATGTTTCTCAGTCTTTGAGTCTTCACACAAACACCTTCCAGTTTCCTTCCCTCCTTCTGGCCCTCCTCAAGAGCTTCCTAGCTTTTTCCAGATGGCCCAGCTGAAAGATCAAGACAGTAAGTACATACTGTTGCTCTCTGCACAGCTATAGCCACAGTTTTTCAGAAAACTGGATTTGAAAAAAAAGTTCTTTAATTTCTCCAAGACTTTAATTTGTGATGGAATTTGAACTGAAGTCTCAAACTCCCTCTGGGGCACCTGATCTTAGTTAATCATCACCAATTTAATCCTGACTTAATGTCCCTAGAAATACGGGCAAAAGGTAAATGGCTTGATGCCCCGGATACGTGTCCTGGTTTTGGCTGGGATAGAGTTAATTTTCTTCCTAGTAGCTGGCATAGTGCTCTGGTTTGGATTTAGTAGGAGAAGAATGTTGACAACACACCGATGTTTTAGTTGTTGCTAAGTACTGCTTATGCTAGGCAAGGACTTTTCAGCTTCCCATGCTCTGCCAGGTGCACAAGAAACTGGGAGGGGGCACAGCCAGGACAGCTGACCCAAACTGCCCAAAGGGCTATTCCATACCATATGATGTCATGCTCAGTATATAAGCTAGGGGGGTTGGCTGGGGGGCAGTGATCGCTGCTCGGGAACTGTCTGGGTATCGGTGGGCGGGTGGTGAGCAATTGCATTGTGCATCACTTGCTTTCTATATTATTATTATTATTGTTATTATTATTGTTATTGTTATTATCATTATTCTATTGTTATTATTATCATTACTATTTTACTTTATTTCAATTATTAAGCTGTTCTTATCTCAACCCAGGAGCGTTTCTCACTCTTACTCCTCCGATTCTCTCCCCCATCCCACTGGG